GTGTACAGCAGTCAGGTTCATTTCTGGATCATTTCTGGTGTTTTAGGAACTGTGTGCCCATAACCCTTTCCTGAAGGGTGTGGGTTTGGTGTGTCCAACCTCCCCTGAAGAAAAAGGGGAGCTGGGAATGGATGCTGTGTTGTGTTGGTCTCAGCTGTGCCATCTTGTCCTTATAACTCTCAGGAGTGAGAAAGGAATCCTTTTAGATTTTTATGATGACACCTTTGACACTTAACACAATTGATAGAAGTCACATTCATAAATGATTCTGGAAAATCATCCCTTTCCCCTGTGCATGAGTGCTGTTGCAATGGGCATTGTGCCAAATGGCAGCATTGGATTATTTTATGCTTTGTGAAGCCATGATGGCTTGAATATTGTTATCATCTTTTCACTGAGAACAATACTGCACCATAAAAATGAAACACAATATCATTCCTGATTTGCTAGAAATGATTGAAGGATCCCTGTTCTGAAAGCATAAGTGTATTTCCTTCTCCATTCTCATCCTCCCCAGAAATTAAGAAATTACTCTGAATGACTGGAAGTATCTTCAACCATGGGCTAATTTGTAGATGTTGTGTTTATAAAAACTCCCTTTCAAACCACAGACACCATTTCAGAACACAGGTTGTCTTAAAAGTAGCAAACCGACATAATAAAATTAAAAAATACTTTGTTTTATTGTGTGTCCTTTGTGACTAGTTGGAAAACACCAAACCCCTGCTTGTAATCACAGGCAGTATACAAGACTATTTAAAAAGGAGTGGATGTCAGCATCCAGGTTTAATTACAGCTTTGTTTAAGAAAAACCTCTATCATAATTGCAGTGTCATTGTTAGATTGTGGGAAGACTTCCTCTGTAGTGGAACAGATACATCCATGAAATCCAGGATGCTTTTTCCTCCCCTTCAGGAGTGTTAATGCAGGGAAAATAGGTGGGGAAATATCTTCAGTGAATCATCTACTTATTTTCAATCTTCCTGAATTACTATTTCTTTTCAAACACAGCAGCACCCTATAGGGACAGACTTCTTTACATGAATACTAAATAGAACTAAGAAAAAAGAAGTAATATTTTAAGACACACTGCCAGGCTGCCCACAATGTGATGTCATTTTTGGCACTGGAATAGAGGAATTTTTAATTCCTCTATTTGCAATTTGACAATTTTTAATTTGGTCAATAAACAATAATCTTGGTAAACACTTTTTTTTTATGGGGCAAAAATGGGATTTTTCTAAGCCAGCTCTTGGTTTATATAGTATGTAAAAGTACATGACAAATGTTATAAGAATAATAACAATGTAGAAAACTCCACTTTTATTGTGTGATAAAATTGACTGAATACTCATTATATCAAACATTCATCTGGCCTGATGTTAAGCATTAGCATTGTGTAAGAGAAATATGCTTTTTGTTAAAAGAAAACATGAGTTTTCTTGTACTACCATAAAACCCCCCTATTCCATAAATTTTTAAATGCTAGTGATCTTTGTATTTCTTGCTGCTCTGTGGTTTGGATGCATCTTCTTCCCTTTGTCTATTCAGATTATGATATCTCTAAAGGCTTATTTTTGTCTTCTTTGTGTGTAAACAAAACCCAAACATTCCCCTCCTCTGTATTGTGAACTTATCAATACAATGTTTAAAAGAAAACTTAATCCAATATTTTTGTATTGTGAACTTATCACAATACAGAAATAAAAATAATAACAGTGCTCTTCTTTAGAAGATACCTCAGTGAAACAGCTCTGTGCCAAAATTTCTCTTCCTACTTGGTCTCAGGTTTGGGACATAAAGGTTGCCCTTTTGCATATTTGAGCCAAGGTCTGAGACACGAGGGCATAGGTAGCTCTATATTAGTATGTGCATGCGTGTCTATTTAGAGATATGTATATAAATATGTATAATTTTAAAAATGACACAGCAATGACAACATCAGGAATGTCACCTCAACAGTGCATGGGATTAACATTTCTTGGGTGACCTTGGCTTAATTTGTGTTTTTTCTTTTGAATGCCTAATTTCACAGCTTTGACTGACCTTCTCTTTCCCAAGCTTAGCTGCCTGTCTATTAAACAATATGTATCATTTAATTTTTAGATGTAAGTTTTTGTCTTTTCAAAGGGATGGGGGTAGAGAATTCAAAGGCAGTTAACATTGTTTATAGTCTCTAAAGGATATGCATGTATGTGTCAGATTAATTTTAGCAAATTTTGTTAAATCATTTATTTTAGGGCTGAATCTCATCTCTCTGCTTTCTTCTTATACTTTTGAACACACTGATTTTCTTTTGAAGATTTGACTTTTTGATCAAGTTTTTAGTTCTGTGTAAGTTCTTAATTTTACCTAAACCTTTCAAAAGTCATTTCTGTCCAAATCCACACTCTCATTGAAAACTAATTGAATTTTCAGGATAAGATTACAGTCATTTGAGATCTACAGATCTGAAGGGCCACAGATGGTTCTATTTCTGTATGTGTGGTAGGCTTGATGTGAAACATTTGATGGTTTTGCTGCTTCTCTGATCTACATTTCTGCCTGCTAGCAAACCACTAGGACTTTTCAGTTAAAAAATGCTAATTAATTGTTTGTATGGACATGTAATTTCAATAAGACTCCTGGATTTGTTTTACTAACTGCAGTATGGAGTAGAAAAGTTGAGGAGCACCAGCTCATTCAGTCGCTTGGGGCATATGTACAAAGAGATTTGGGCAACTCTGAAATAGTTTCTGTGGATCTGAACCTTTATATACAAAATCAGGGTATGTTTTAAGAAGGATATTCAAGTATTTAGAATAGCCCCTATATTAAAGGTGAGTTTTGTCTCAAATAATAAGCCAAAAGTGTTTAATATTCTGCCAGTAATCCAGGAGAAATTGTGTTTGCAGGCAGAGCCCACTTTGTTTGAGGCTGCTGAGGATTCAGGATCCCTTCTCACACGCTCCAGCCTTTTTCATTCTGAACAAGTTGTGTGAATATTTAATATGCTGTAGACTCGAGGTCATAAATGGTTTGCAACAAATTATTCATGCAACAAACTCAGACTCTTCTGCTTCCTGAATCTCTGTGAAGGTGGCCATTTGCTCATGTAGAAATCCACTGAATCTTTTACAGGTTTTTTTTTGGTTGTTGTTAATATTGGTGGCACAGTGTATCTCACAGGGCAAGGTGGACCAATTATCATTCTATTGCAAAATCTCCCTACATTTTCTTACTGAATTTGACACAGTGACAGTATCATTAACAGCAGTCAACTTGATTTCAGCAGTTTACTGAAAATAGTTTTTGTGGTTTGCTTGTCATGTGTGACATTTGAATAATATACAGAATCACTTGGCATACTTAATCATATTGCAATACATTTTTGTAATGGCTGTTGCTAAAATATGTGCATTGGCAACACTCACTGGTACCTACTCTATTCTCATCTCCCTCAAATAAAGTGTTTTATTTATTTGCAACACCTGGAGAGCTGTGAGAAGGATATTGTAAAAATCCATCTGGACAAGTGAGTCCTGGTAACATAAATTACAGTGCTCAAAGGCCATATGCACAAAGTAAAAGTGGAGGAGCTTTTGGGTATCTGGTCATATATTTTCTAAAGTTGCCTGCCTTGAAACAATAATGTTGCCAGGTTGGTTATAAATGATATGTGGTTCAGAAATGTAGTTCCGGAAATTTTTCATTTGTTGTTTCACTCAAATGTTTTTTCCTACAGATGCTTTGAGTCTGCTGTTAACAAAAGATAAGCACTGGCTCTTAAATTTTTGTTGATGACTTTAGGTAGGTGGGAATTTACCTATACCATGAACATTCAGATAACATCTTGTAGGTCTCATGATGCTCATGTTGTAAGGTCAGATCCACGGCAGCTGCCATCCACAGGTTTTGGTGCTGGTAATTCCTCTCTCTTCCTTTGCTTCTCATTTCCTGCTCTTCTGTCAGCAGAAACAGCTGTGGTGTTTGCTCCTCAACTCAGTGATAACACATTTTTTCCCCTGAGAATTCTCGTTTGAATTCAGATTAACTAGTTGGGTTTTATCCTGTAAGTCCACATGGTTCCACTTTTTTATTACATTTTTGTCTGGATTTTAGTATTTTTGCTGGGATTTGAGGGTGCTCTCTGGGTAATACTGGCAAATCTTTCTTATGAGGTGTTTCGTTTTTTCAATCCATTTCTACTCCCTTCTTTTCCTGTTTTCCAGCTGGCAAACTTTCTAAATCCTGGGTGAATACTGAAGGCAGACAGGATGATCGTGTTTATGTGATTTTTCAAACACGGAACAATCCCAGAAATTACATTGTCAAGTTCCTCACTTCTGTGTAGAAAGTTGCACATCCAGAAAGGTCTGTGAAGAGAAATCAGTAAAAGAAATGGAGGGTACTTCAAAACAGTCAAAGCTTTGTCATTATGTAAGTTCAAACAGCAACAGCAGTAATTATCCATACACCCAGCACAGCACATGAAAGCATGGTAACCTCGGGAATTACTCTAGAAGAAGGAAATTGGCAAAGAAACCTATTGTCAGAAGGAAAGAAGACTTTTTGAATTAAAAAAAAAAAAAAAAAAATCGGAACCTTGAGATATTCTTTAGTTTACATTTTTAACTACAGCTGTATCTTCCTGCTGCACAGAAGAGATGGTACTTTCTTTTTCCTCTGGAAGAAAAAAAAATTTAAAAGCATCTCCTGCATGAGCTTTTTAATTTTATAATATGCCTAAGAATATTTTGCTTCCTGCTGTAATTTTTCAGCTGATTAGAAGCTAAGCCATGTGCTCTTACCAGCATCCAGGATTTGTATTAATGGAAATAGCAGCAGATCCTCTTGTAATGAAGGAACACAGAGGTGCAGAAATATTTTTGGGATCATTTAACTGCTTTAAGAGTCAGATAAAAGTGGCAGCCAACGCCAACCACCACAAATCTACCACAGCCCATAAAATGTCACATCAACACACTGAGTTTCTTAAACTATGTAACATCCCAAATTTCTCTGCCAGAAGTAACATTGTCTTCATGTTTCTGTCCCCCAGAGGGTTTCATCTCCACTTGTACATTCTTGTCACTGCTCGACAGGATGTTGAATGTGGATCTGCTGCTTTGGGCGTGTTTAAATAAGAAGTGACTGCACTTCGCTTTGAGAATATTTCAGACTTCCTGAAGAAACTGTAAGTTCATTTTTCCTTTGTGTGCTTTTCTCTTGCACTGTTCATTTTGCAGGTGCCCATTCTTTGGTGTACATTGTGTCTTTCAGTTCCTTCAGCAACTGCATTTTAACAAATAATGGTGTTAGGAATCCAAAGCAGCTTGGTTTCTTACATTCCATGTTTCAGAGATCTTTAGAGCCAAATGTCTGCTGAAAGCTGAGTAGTGTTTTTAGGAGCTGTATTCATGAAGTCACTGTCCTAAACTAAGGACTTTGTATATTACCTGGACAGTAATTATTCCCTTTGTTCTACTTTGTGTATCACCCAGGGTCCCATTTGTCTGTCTCACAGCACACCCAAAATCTCAGGTTATTGTTGAACATTCAAACAGGTCATCACTAAAAAAAGTAGATAAATTATTTGTGAAATGTGTCACTTGCAATGACCTACTTTAAGGTTTGCTGAATTTAACAAAAGATTTAGATGGTAATTTTGGTTTGTGTGGGGCCTTTTTCTTTTACATCACAAACTGCTTGGTTAGATTTCTAAGAGCTCTAACAGAAAATAAAAATCCTTTTTTACTGCCTCAATGTTTGATGCCATTAAAGGAGTAAGGTTCTATGATTCCCATGCTATGCTGACTGCATGCATTTTCACTCAGCAAATTGGCACAGATTTCTTTACATTTTTTACTTCCCCTCTCCCTGTCCCAATTGAGTGAGCTCTGCAGTCACTGTGTTTGCAGGTGTATCAAGACCAGCAGAATGTGACTCCTGTATTGCTGAGAGCATTCAGTGTGTAATCACATTGCCTTGGCTTGGCACTCTCAGCCATGGCAGTTCTGATTTCAGTGCCAGCCAGCAACCTAAATATTTGCTTTTCTGAAGGGTCTTGCAGTCCAGACTGAGCTTGTTGTTTTTTTTCTGCAGCTATACTGCTCTCAGCTGTCAGGTACACCTAGCCAGGCTTTGGTCTCAGCAGAGATTGCAGTGTAACCAAGACAGAGCTCCAACTTGCAAAATGGTGTTTGTGCATCTGCAGTTGGGTCATTTGACCACTGTCAGGATTTAGTCCAAAACCAGTTCCTTGCTTAGTTCACTGAAGTCCAAATGCAGCAACCTTTCAACATTTCTTAGAAGAGCATGTTGTTAAAAAATTCTCATTGTTCTTTGGGAACCTTTTCCACTCATTTTCTAATACTGCCTTTGAAAGTTCTTTTTGGTGCTCCAAGAACAATGATAATAAACAAGATGACCTCTTGATTTTTCCCTTGAGTGTGCACCTGTTTTCTTCTTCACTACAATCCCTTAGAACCCTTGCCTTACTCTGCTGCTTTCTGCCAAACCAGGGGAAGTGCCAATGGAGTGCCCAGGCTCAGAACACACCATGGCCCATCAACAAAGCTGGGAAATCAGCAGACACGATCACATTTGTGAACACTTTGCCAAAAACAGAAGGAGGAGAGGAGGGGATGATGAAAAAATACAAATCTTCACTCTTCTTGTTAGCTTCTGGGTATGTCTGAAGTAATCAGGAGGAAATGAAACTTCAAGTTGGCAGTTTTCCCTTTAAAATGCTCTGTGCATTAGAGCTGAATATGAATAGCATTATCTTTCTTTTCTTTTCTTTTTTTTTTTTTTCTTTTAAAAGAGAAATATCTATTAATAGATCTCTGTAACAACAATTGCTTACCGGTTTATGCTTATGGCTTATCACAAAACTATTCAGCAGGACTCATGGCAAAACTGTGAAGTTTATATAATTGCAACCAAAGGCAAAGCTTTGCTTCAGGGTCTGCTACACTATCAAACTCTGCAAGAGCTGAAAATAACGATGTAATTCCAATGACTTCTTCTAAGGGGCCATGTGAGCTTATTCGACCCAACAAGACACTCACTTTGGCAAGCAGAATACCTTTGATTCAGAGCTCCTTCTGATTAAAACAGAGCTCTCACTGGTCTGTATTGTAATTATCTTTTGATCTTCGTTGTGTATTTTCAGTGGGATGTGATAATTACATTAAAATTAAATATTATACCTCCTTTTTGGTGTGTGTATTATCTGCAGGTATATTTGTGCAAGTGTTTCAGTGTAATATCATGGAAAATTACCACAGTGACAGAACAGCAAACATCCCATATTATTACCTTGTGCCATGGGATTTCAAGTAAACTAGAACTCTTTACAGTCTAGGAGAGCTGCCAGTCCCCCTGAAATTACCATTTTAATTGAATTGATCATAAACACTTTGCTCTGGCTGTAATAGTAGACCGAGAAGATTAAATCTATTTAACCATAGTTTGGGGAAAGGGTGACCTTTCAGCCAGTTTTGTTATAATTGAAAGGTTGCTAATATTTCTGATTGGAGCTTGATGCAAGGAAATGTGAAGTCAAATTGTAATATTAGAAATAATATTTTTGTTCAGATATGTAGATGTAGTCAGTAAATATATATTGATCTATTTACTCACTTTTATAATTGTTATCTGAATCTGAAATTAATATTGGAATTTTTATTAGGAATATTGAGGAAAATACAAATGGCTAATGCACCCACACACAAAATAAACTTATTTCTAAAGCAATAAAGTGCCATGCCTTAAAATAGCAAGGGTCTTATGGCCTCAAAATTTCCAGAGCCAATTCTCTTTTTTTTCTCTGAATTCTTTTGTCTTAAAATTGCCAGCAGCCCAAACATTGTTAGACCTTTTTGTCCTGCCTCTCCTTTTGCTGTGCTCTTTGCTGCCTGTGGTCTCTGTCAGCTCCAGCACACTGGAGAGCCCAAGCTGCTCCCTTCAATCCAATTAACCCCACACCATTACAGCCTTGTTTGGTGTCAGACTTGGAACTTTTTATTCTTTCCTTATTTAAATGAGCAACTTGATTCCAGCATCTCCCTCATATTGGTTCTCTTAGATAATTGGTCACTATTACAACTTGCTTTCAAATCTTTTCCCTTTTGAAGTTTACCTATTGCAGAAAGGAAAAGGATTTTTGCACCTTTTACCTGTCATTTTAATAAATTTAATCTAATAGTCTTTTACCTGGGTGGAAAGACAGCCAAAGTTGAATTGCAGAATGTAATTCTAATATCTGTTTTTAGCAGGTACAACATAATAGAAGCTTAAGCAATTGCAAATAGGGAAAAAATAGGATTTTGCCACCTCAACAGCTTTCTTAGGTGGGCTGATTTTGTTTGCAGGTATGCCTGCAAACAGAAGATGCAGTGATTTGACTGTTCCAGACTAGTTTTTTCGTTGCTCCTTTAAATGGCAATCTTGTACTGTATGCCTTCCTTTCTCAGGTGAAAAGATTTGTGATGGAAAATACAGCTCTTCAAAGATTTCTAGTATTGACAGAGGAGTTTGAGAGGAATAAAGCATACACAAATTATCTGGGCTCTTCGAATTCAGGTATCGTGCTCCCCTTTCTAAATTTCCTTTCTTTCTTTTGAAACATGATGCAAGGCAGCAATTCTTCATTGGCATTGAAGCTCAGACCATAACTTGGACTGTGTGGACATCATAATTGTGATTGATCTTGTGCTGCAGCCAGCTCCCTACTCAGACTGGAACTCAGACACACAGAAGGTCAATACAACCCTCTTTCTTCAACAAAACCTAGTGCAGAGATCTGGGAAGGAGAGGAGAGTATCAGAAATGCCAATCCCATTACTCCTCAGGTGTTTCTTCTGCTCTCCTGTATTACCAGCAAGAGGTTTCAGGACTGTGTGGTGACTTTATGGATGCATGTGAGGGAAATTCTCCTTCTGGGAAACAATCCTTCTGAGTGCATAGCTGTCAAAATGGATTGCCATCAAGGCTTCAAAAAGTAATTAAATATTATAAATATTATTTAATGAAATTAGCAGATTGGAGCAGAGAGGGTTAAATGTATCTTCCAAAAAGTTATACAATATCTGGAAAAAAATTATTGGGTGAGTGCCCTCTGATTGCTAATTGCATACAATATTAAGACATCACTTTCTTTCCTTCCTCATTTGCTCTGTGCTTCAAGGTAAAAGATGGAACACAGGATTATGACAAATTCTCCTCTGGGATCTGCGTAGTGGGGCTTGTCTTTGATCTTCCTTTCTCCTGCCCTTGGAGACCAAATGCATTTTTGCACATGGGAAATGCACAGAACTGTGCAGCTCAGGACTGCTGTGCTGATCAGAGGGAATTTCCCTGAAAGGTCTGTGCTCTGCATTATTGAAACATTAAAAAGTGTTTGGAGCTTGAATTGGACATGTCCTGCCCTGGAAGCTGTGGTCTGGCTTGGGATGAAGGGTCAGATGGTCCCAAATTTGTATGTGACCTGTGTGGAGTCATGAGACAGATTTTTTTTCCTTTTTATTTTGTATTTGCTACCATGAGCTGGTGGTTAATATGGGAGTTACCTGTAATTTTTGTGAGCTCTGCTCTCCTGATAACAGTTATAATGTATTCTAAGGGATTAAGGCTATAGAGGGCATATATTTCAAATAGATTTATATTAGAGAAACCAATCCTGTCAATCAAGTAGCTGATACCTAAAACTGGATATTGAGAACCTCAGCTTAAAGATACAGGGGCTCCCTAAAGCTAAGTCTGTACCAGGCTGTGCTGGGTCAACAGCACAAAAAAGCAGCACTGAGCTGTGTGCAGTGGAGATAAAATGAAAATCGAGATAGAAAATGAAAATAGAGCTCTTCAGCAGCACCATTAGTTCACTGGCACTGCTGTGTGCTGAGTGTCTTGGAGCTGCTAAATTTAGCACATTTTGTGCAAGGTGTGTCAGCACCCTTGGAGAGCTCTGCCATCGTGGAAGAGCTTGGCGGGGTGGTGCTGAGGGAGATACAGAAATAGGAAATACATGAATAGGAGTGGGAAATGTGGGAGGGAACTGGAGGTGGACATTGTCCATGTATGGCCATCAGCAATATAAGGCTTGCTCCACCACAAAGTGACCTGAAGGTGCACTCATTGTTTATCTTAAAGGCTTCTTACACAATTGATTGAATAAGGGTATATTTGGGAAAAACAGGACTTTATTTTCAGCTGAAAACTTGTTCTGCAGGATTTTCTTCATGTCCCTGGTACTTTTTTTTTTTTTTTTTAAACTAGGATAAAGAAAGGAAAAGACCAAGGTTTTTATTAGATTTTCATTAAATGTAGTCCATCTAAGCAAGGAAACCTTGTATTCAGTAAAACTTGTGGTGCCATTATGATGAAAGGAAACCAACCCTTAGTCTAATTTGTAACAGCCAACAAATAGATGGTACTTGAAGTTTTTTCAGTTTGCTTCTGAAGAAGGCCCAATAATTGAACAGGCTTTGTTGCACAGAAAGCAACTACTGATGCCTCTTCTGGTCGATTTGTTTTTTAATTTTCCATCTTTTTCTCTCCACAATTTACTTGTTTTTTGCCCTTCTGCTGCCTTCATTTGGAGGCTCGGAGTGGTAGTGTGTTTTTCCAAGAGGAATGGCTCTTACAGTCATGAATATCAGCTTTCAATACAGTTCAGATAGGCCCTCAAATATAAACATTTTTTCTTATGAGGGAGTTGAAAAAGCAAGTTGTTTAAAATAGCCTGTATTTTGTCTAAAAAAAAGACATGAACACATGAACTATGCTGCCTTTCCTCACAAACTCTCAATATTGATATATTAAAAAACTTGTTAGGCCAGACATGTTCATAGGGATACATTTGCTTTTCAATGCACATGTCACTCCCTGATCCAATTATTACTGCATTTTTCAGAGAAAAAATTAATTAGCAGTTTGTCACTGTCCTTCTGGCTCCTGGAGATCCAGTAATTACTTGATTTTTATAGAACAGAGTTCATTACATGCAATAGACAAGTCTGGACAAAACAACTTACTTGGTGCAGCTTCTTGAATCCTACTGCTATTATCAGCATCCTCGCTGTGACTGCAGAGCTGACAGATTTTAGGACTTAGGATGCAGAAATCAGGTTATACTTTATTATTTGGAAAAAGGTCTTACATTTTTTAACCACCCTCCAGCAATTATCATACTACCAAAAAGTATGATGGACATATTTATGGTTAAGGAAAAATTAGCAAGGAGAAGTCCACACTTGAAGGAGAGGTAGTGTTAAAATTTAATTTTCAAATCTGACAGTTTAGTTCTGCAGGGGAGTGTTCAGCTTTTCATATATTAAGAAAAATACCACAAGGATATTTTTTTCTCTGTAGTTACACAATAGCCTCATATATGGGTTTAGCAGTTCTTTCTCTAGCTAAATAATGGAGATTTTTCTCCTTTTCAGTATGTATCAGTATCTGATATTTTCCTTGAGGTCAAAAAAAGTAAAATTTGCCCAGTACATCTATTTTCCTGTCTGCAGCAAAGCTAAAAGTTCCACATCTGCAGACTTCTGCTCTCTTCCAGCCCTCTTCACCTTTGAAAAGGTTCACACCTCTTCAAAATATTATATTTTCCACGACATGAGGACTTTTGGAAAGCCCATGATGTGTGAGCCATCAATAGCTGCATATTGCAGCTGTGTGGACACAGTGGAGGCAGACTTCATCTGAGGTGGAGCAGTGAGCAACCTCTGAGAGGAGAAATTCAGAGCAGAAGACCAAGTCTCAAGCAAGAAGCAAATATTCTTCACCAGCCTCCCATCTTTGGGGGTTCCCTGCTCAGATTCCTCCCACCACAGCTTCCTGGGCATCTAATATCCTCAAAGACCTTAAGGAACTGAATACCTCTGATGTTCAGATGGGAATGGAATCCTTTGTAGAAATGATACATAGAGAATAATTTACACAAGGTATTTTACTTTCCTGGTTTTGTGACTTTGACCTTGTTTTTCTAGGTATTCAGTCATAATTAAGAGTTTTTTCTTCCCAGACTGTCTATGGTTATTTGCCAAATGTTGAAGTTTGGTAAATTGTATGTAAATATTTCCAAAAGGAAAGACAGAAGTGTGACAGCATAAGAATGATTTTGCCACAAAGGTAAGAACTGTTTCTCCAACATCTATTTGCAAATTCTAGTAGAAATTATCACTTGAAAAACAAGGAATTCCTCAGAAAAACTTGGGGGAAATTACTCTGGTTAGTCATCTTAGTCTCAGACATAGGCTGCTATGGACATTTTATACCAGAGATGCAGATCTCATTGTACTGCCTTTTAAAAAATGGTTCCATATTGGCTGAGGTTTCTAATTCAAATTCCTGAATGGGCATTGTGCTTAAAAAGCCTTTTTCCAAGGAATTTGGAGGAGCTTGGGCTTCTCTGAGGAGTCTTTGTTCTGCTTTTGGCCATGCTGAGCTCTGACACTGATCCACTGATCCACTGTCCAGGAACTAGAGTATTTATTTCAAAGAATTCTCCTTAGTCTTTGGTAGCATTAGGTATGTGCTGCATAAAATTATTGCAAAATATTTGTAGCCCCACAAAACATCCAGGCATGTCCATTGTGTGCAAATAAATGCAAGGAAATGCAAATAATAACCACTTTAACTTTGGCTAAATCTTTAGAGTATAGATGCAATTATTTTACTAAGTGCTTATGAGAAGTAGTATTTTTATTGCTACGTGAAATAATCCGGGACAACAATATGTTATTTTAGTCAGTTTCTGGGTGAAAAATAGCAATACACCATAGAAGAATGATGACATCTACACATTATTCCTTCATTCATTTTTAAATTGTATTCACCAGAAGAAGTTATCTGTAAGTTCATCTCCTGATACAATTAGCAACATGAATTTAGAATAGTAAATGGTTCTGTGGGTTACAAATCAATTCAATATGGGTGTATCTAAGAAAACCCACTCTGTTATGCCTCATTTAATGCAATATGTTGTGTACTTTCTGTTCATCATGAACACAGAGTTCGCTTACCTGGCACATTTCATTTTCACATCACCTTGGCAGAGCGTGGCTGTGTTTCAACTAAAGCAGGACAACAGATGGTTGTGGAGGTGTGGGATTGCAATTTTCTCCATGGTAATAATTTGAATTTTTACTGCCCTAGTACTTTCTCAGTGCTAAATACAGTGACAAACACTTGTGATTTAGTCACTTAAAGGTAAGCCTATGTCGCTTTTCCTGTGCTGCATCTCACTTCTCACTCTGTCTCAGGATCTGCTGCTGCTGATCCAGGGGGCAGAGGTCTGCCTGCAGACATCCTTGCTGGCTGTGTGCAGGTGTCTCAGGTGCTCCACAGCTCCTAAAACCACCCTGGACCCCTATGTTCAGACAATTTAGATTCTGTCCTAGAAGAACACACACACACACATGCACACAGGAACTTGCTCTCAAACCTTGGAAGTTGAGTCCACACAGTTAATCTTGAAAAGTGCAGATCCAAATATTTTTTTAATATTTGCTCATGTCTGGAATTTATTAACTATTTTTATTAGAATTATTAGTTGCTAGAAATCACCTTTAGTG